TCCCAGAATTCTGGGAGTTGAAGTCCAGACATCTTCAAGTTGCCAAGGTTAAGAAATACTGTTCTAGTATATTATGAAACTGAATTATATGAAGAGGAAAGATTTAAAGATAATTTTGATTTTACAGTAGGCCTATGTGATGCTGTAGGGAAGGGGATTGTCCATGGAAGCATCTGTCTTGTTGGCAGATTGCTGAAACTGTTGAGTAACCTCTGAGTCTCTTTTGTGGCAGCTACCTTGTCCTTGCCTGCCACCTTATTGCTCAGTGATTCAATTTGCTTCTGAATCATGTCTGTAATTTGATGTGATTAAGCTTCAACACAAATCACCACTGAGATCTCTAAACCAATCCTGTTATAGTAATACACTGGACTTATTAACTGCAGACAATATTCTCCTCTCTGCCAACCGAATATTTGTTACAATCAAGAATCATACTGCTAATTGTCACTCTGATCTGGAACATTGCCGTTTTCTCAGTAGAGGAAGTGCTCCCTAGATATTAAACTCCGAGAGTTTAAAAATGACACATGTGTGCATCTTTTCTCTATTTAACCATGAGATGTTTCCCTTTAAGAGATTAAGTGCATTACAGAGCCTATGTAGTTCTCTTGTACAGTGGCACTTCTGGCAAAAATGCATTTTGGATTACACACAGGTGAATGAATCCTAAGATTTGCCCTTTGATACTATGGGAGCATAAGCCCTACAAAGAGAGTGGTAATAATCTAATAACATTGATTGGATGGAATGTGAGGCTGAAGAAATGCTGGGAGTCCTTCTGAGGAGGAGAATGTGGATCATAGCCTGATAATACAGAGCTAAAATGAAAGCCTGCTTGTGGCTCCATTGATCCAGGAGATAGGGAAGTTTCTGGAGCTAATGAAACCATCAGTAATGTCCAAGGCAAGGATAGTTCCAACTGTGAAGACACTTCGGAGGCAGCAAATGTCATCTGGTAAATCCAAAAATCTACTAAAGTAAGATCTGTAAGATCAAGAGTTTACTTTCTTTGTATATAACAACAATTAAAGACTAAATAAGGATGGGGGGAAAGGGAATTTGCAGAACAAGAGTTCAATTCTAGGTGCCGTAAGAAGTGGCAGTTTCAATAAACTTAGTTAATAAAAAGGGACTAGACCAATTTAAAAAAAGACAAGGTTCTTAGTGGCTATTTTTGGTAAGTTCTTCTGAATTGAAAGCAATGAATCTTAATGGCTTGGGACCAAAAATGGAAGAGTGCTATCACCCTCATGTCTTTTTGTAAATAAATAAGGCACCAGCTAGTTCCAGTAACTGGTTCCAGCTTATCCATTTCCCATCTCCAGTTCATTTGCAGTGGAGTTGCAATGCTTCTCTTGAGCATTCATAAACAAGTGAAGCACATTAAACAAAGTCAGTCTGCTCCTGTTCATACATCTTCTCTCTTTCCTCCATCCCAAGCACAAAAGGCAGGCCATAGTATTTACTCTCCTCCTATGGTGGGATTCAACCAGTGGAACAACTGGTTTGCTGAGTGCACGCTGAGCACTTTGCTTGGACACTCACCAAATGCACACTCTGTCCGTGGGTCAGCGGTGAAATCTATTTTCTCCCCACTGGTTCTGTGGGCGAGGCTTGGTAGGGGGTGTCATGTGACTGGGTGGGCGTGGCCAACTTTTGTTCACTTTTTAAAGCATTTTTCCCTATGGGTTTGGGTGAACCGGCAGGAAAAAATGCAGTGGTGGGTTCTGGATCCCATTGCAACTGGTATGGTGCAAAGTGGCTCGGCATCTACCACATGAATGTGTGCAGTGCGTGCATGCATCCTACCCTCCAGTGACACCTCTATGAGCTTCCGCAATGCTCCAGCTGCTCGATGGAGCGTCACACAGGTGCCGTATTTGCCATGCACATGAGTGGAAGCACCGAAGAGTTCAAATACAGGTAAGGACAACAGGCAGTCAGATGGGCCCTCCGGAGAACCATACCGAAACGGTGTCTATCCCTTTTTCCTTTCTTTCTTTCTTTCTTTCTTTCTTTCTTTCTTTCTTTCTTTCTTTCTTTCTTTCTTTCTT